AATTCCAAATTTGAAACAATTCCGGTAAATAATGTCGCTAAATTCATTAAAATAATGAATATCGGGTGTATTTGTAGTTCAGGGTGGGTTCTAGCTCCGGCGGCAGATCATTGCAATTTTAAGTCCACGTTTTCCTATAGAGCACATATAACGATGCCCACCGATACTCGATATTTTAATAATCCGAGTCACATTTACCCACGAATTTGGTTCAAATTTGGTATTTAAGAAGATTTGGTAGATGACAATACTTCAAGTAAGATTTTTTTTTTTAAGGCATCCGCATAGCTTTGTAAACGTGAAATTTTAAATACTTTTAAATACAACTAAGGGTTTCTATAACGTGGATATTTTAAAAACGAATTTTCGAAGACAGATATGGGACTGTAAAAACGTGAATTTTGTAAATATGTTTGAGAAGGCTTCAGAAACATGGATTTTGTAAATATTTTCGGGAAGGCTTTACAAACGTGATTTTTTAAAGATTTTTGAAGACAGTTTTCGACTCTAGAAACAGCAATTAGACTCTAGAATCGTGAAATTTTCTTTAAAAATTTTGAAGACAGCTTTTTGTAAATATTTTTGGGTAAGCTCCAAAAAACTTGAATTTGGAAAATATTTTTGGGAAGGCAGCCAAATGATCCAGAGTCATATATTTTTAAAAAATTAGAGGTAAAATAAAAAAAATATGAATTTTTCAAAAAAATTTTAAAAGTATTCAAAACCCTCTAGAAGTGTATATTAGTTCCGTTTTAATAATGATTTCTACAAAATTCTGTAAAAAATGAATTTTTGGAATATTTATGCTGGTAGCGTTAAGTAAAATAGTAAAAGGACAGCTAAATGTAAACTTTTTGATGAATTTTAGAAAACATCCAAATCGAGATTTTTTCAAAAATTCGGGCCACTGTTTACATGTTCCACAGTTTCTCAAAAATTTCCAAAGAAAAAAATTGACACTGATTTTTTAAAAGATTTTTAGAAACACCCAAGGTTTCTAGAAACGCAGCCAAGAGGAATCCTAAACGATATTTTTTAAAGATATCTTTTAATTGACTGGCCCTAAAACATCTCCATTGTCATAAAAGTTAGGGAACTATTATTGACAGAAGCCAGCAGGTGGATCGTACCTATATGTTCCCTTAAGAAACGTTGATATTCGGATTAGTTATTTAAGCTGCCGACATTTATGGAATATATGAATGAATCTATCTAACGTTTTACACAGTAAATATTGAAGACTTATTTCTTATCTAAAATAATTTCATTTCAAGGCAAAGTTTGTGTCTTAAGTCTTTTGTTTTACTTTACCACTATTCATAGAAACTTCTGACAAATTTCTAAAATCACAAAAATTTAAATAAATCAGCTTTAGCTTTGAATATCCAATTGAAATAACAACATCAATGTATGTGTGTGTGTATAAAATATTACATTCATGGCAGGCGCAACAAATCGGAAACAGGTAGTTGTAATAAAAAAAAAACTCATGAAAAATTGAAAGATCATTGTGTTCATAGGAAGCAAAAGCTTTTTAAAAATATAGATAAAATTTGTATGTAACTTATTTCATTATACCCATAATCTGTTGGCTTATAGAAAAATGGCCTTAAGGGATTACCACAGCCAAATAAAACAGTTTAAATGCCCATGGGTTTGAGTATGTTTCGAACTGCTACACATTGCTTGAAATAAGCTTTTCTCGGTGCCTTTTGGCATTAACACTAACAGTAAACTCAAAATATGTTATTAATGAGTGAACATGACAGCGGACCTGTTTGAGCCATCAGACATCAGAGAGAAATATCTGGCTTGTCATAAGCATCAAAGATCACTCTTCAATTTTTTTTAATTTCGATTTTTTTTTTTTTTTTTTTTTTTGGAAGAACCTAATAGCAATTATTTTGATTATATACTTTCATAAGCAAGAAAGAAGAAAAAAAAAAACAAAATTGAGTGTTACATGTTTGCAGGCTATATTGCTGGATTACTTTTTTTTACTCGTCCAACTTCGTTGGAGTTTTTTTATTTTTTTATTTTGTTTTTCTTTCTTTTGGTTTTAGACAATTTGCTTGTCTTTCTTTGAGGCTTATCTATGTTTTCTGTTTTTTTTTTTTTTTTTTTTTTTTGGTTTTATTTTTCTGATTCGTCATTGTCTGTCTGTCTGCCAGGCGTTGCTTATTTTTTAGTTGCCATCTTGTGTGTCTGGCATTGTCGGTAATGTATTTCAAAGAAGTTTCCAATCGAATTGTATCGAATTGCAATATTTAACGCTTCAAGGTTTAATTTTTGTAAATTACAGCATTTTTTGGATTTATGTTGAAGTCTGCTACAGCAAGACAAATATGATGTGGAAGAAATGAAAAAGTAAAATAAGGGGAGAAAATGAGATATGTATTTGAATAAAATATTTCCTATTCCTACACTTTTGTAACAGGGTCCGCTTTAAAAGAGTACACTTTACTGGAAGCCTTTTAACTGATCCAAAAAATATCTTTCGAAAAATTCTGGTTCTAATGGACTTTTGACTGAACCCAAAAATTTAAAAAATAAGAATTAAACGTATCGTTAGATTTTGCTGCGCATGTATACCCTCACCTCTGTCAGGACTCTGTAATAAATATTGCGAAATATATATAAAAATAGTTGGTTCTCCTTATACATTGTCAAGGTGTTAAAAAGTTTGTCATTAGAACTCGAAACAATTTTGGGAATTTGATCTATAAACCGGGTACCATCAAATCCACTTGGAATCTTCCATAACCCAGACTGGCTATTGGATAGCAATAATATAGTAAATTTGCATAGAATATGGAAACAATTTTCCATTTTTATACCCTCCACCATTGTATGGAGGGGTAAATTAAGTTTGCCATTCCGTTAGCAACACCCCGAAATATTCCTTTTTAGAACCCATAAAGTATATACAGGGTGAGATAAAAAACTGCAAAAAAGTCAAACGTCATAATTTTTATATTTTGTCTAAAATTTTATTGAATGAAAGCAATAAAATGTCGGAAACAGCATCAAATTTTAGAATAAGTTTAGATTTAATCGAATTGGTCACTTTTGGCACGAATTATGGCCTTCAAACGGCCAATGAAACCGTCACACGCTGCCCGAATATTGCTCTGCGTTATTTTGGCCCATTCCCGGCAAAGCGCTTGCTTGTTGTGATCGACACTTTGGTATTTTTTAGTGCCAACCTTGCTTTCCCAAATACTCCAGACACAATAATCCAACGGATTGGTACCCGTAGATTTTGGTGGCCATTGTGCGCTGGAAATGAAGCGAAGAACCTCATTTTGTTAAAATTCTTGGGTGGCGCGTGCTGAGTGCGAAGGTGCTGAGTCCTGTTGGAAAGTCCAAGGTCTTCGACCAAAATATTTGCGTGCCCAAGGCTTCAATACAGGGTTGTCCATATTCGACGGACCCATCTGGCAACGCCATAACTTTTGACAGAGATGTCACATCGCTTAATGAACCGCGTTTGAAGCGTCAGTCCAAGCAGATTTTTACCATGGACCAATACTCAACGTGCTTTTAAAACATTAAAAAATGTGAGAAGTGCGCCTTCTAAGAACACCATTAAGTGTTTATACGAAAATTTTCGACTGGTAAGGCTCTTTCTAATCCGAAGGGGCCATATAAAAGTCGACCAAGGCGATCGGCCGAGAATATCGCTGCCGTACGAGCCAGTGTTGAGAGGTCCCCAAGAACATCCCAAAAACGCCGTTCTCAGCAGTTGGGCATGGCTCGGTCCACTTTACAACGGATTATTCGCATTGATTTGCATTTGTTCCCGTACAAAATTCAATTGACGCAAAGAATGTTGCCTGCGGACAAGCCTCGTCGATTGGAATGGGCCCAAAGAGTCATGGGTCCGTCGAATATGGGCAACCCTGTACACCCTCCAGAATATTTTCGCGATAATATTCGGCATTTATTCTGATGCCACGGTCGATTAATACGGAGCGGAGAGCGACCATCGGCTGTTATGGCGACCCACACCATCACCATGACCGGCGCTTAAGTTCTGCTGGCCAACCGACATTTTCAGCTGACCTTTTTGGCAAGTAAACAAGACCATTTTGTTTGTTTACAAACTGCTGGACAACGAATATTTTCTCATCCGAGAAAACCAAATTCGGCAATTCACCACTTTTGGCAAAGCGAAGCAACTATTTAGCTCTTAAGACTCTATTTTCTTTTTCTTGCGGTGTAAGTTCTTGCACTTTTTGGAATTTCAATGGCTTTACCCCGAGCTCATTTTTCAATATTTGCCAAATGGAATACTGCGATATGTTCAGCCCAGTAGCCATTTTTCGGCCACTGCGACGCTGGTTTCGATCAAGTCGCTTCTTTACTTTTCGAACCATTTCTGCTGATGTGGCTGTTTTCTTCCGTCCTCTTCCACTTTCTTGACGTCAGGCTACGCTACCAGTATCACGGTAACGAGCGATGGCACCAGACACAATTTTTTTTTCACATTTAAATGCTGGAGGGCTCTAACGATTGCCACTTTTGGATTTTCAGCCAAATATAAAGAAATCACCCTATCACGCTTGAATTCCATCACGAATAATTTTTTTCTGGAAAACCCTTTCCAAAATTTTTTTGTACGCTGGTAAACTATATAATGAGCTGTCATTGGAATAATTTTAACAGCTGTCGGACGAGTGGCTTAGAAATGACAGCAGTCTGAAATTGGTTGCAGTTTTTTCATCTCACTCTGTATTTAGGTTACTTTTCGATATTAACTTTCAAAACACCGATACAAGTGTCTTCTATTTTTAGCTGATCTTTTATAATCTGCTGGATTTTTCAAGACAGTATTTTTTATTTTTTTTTTATTATTATTCAAAACTCTATGTTTTAAAAACTATATTTTCTATCTTTCTTTTATTCAATACCAATATTATTTAAAAAGAGAATATCAAAAACAAATTGCGAAAAATACTAATTTCCCTCTCTCTTCTCTCCCCCTTTTCTCTTTGCAGATCACCAAACTATTACCGCTCATCGAATCGCATTGTTCGAACACAATACGTTTCCTGTTGTGCTCATCGCTCTTCCCCCTCTGTACACCCGATGTACCGCGGCCGGTGACAGCTTGCAAGTCGTTGTGTGAATTTGTAAAGAGCGAATGTTCGTCACACACCGAGCTAATGCAGTTATGGCCTGAATTTTTAAAATGCGAACAACTACCCAGCCCCGAACATCAAGAGCTGTGCATGCAAATACCCACAATACCGACAGTGAAGACAAACGCCCCCCACAGCAATGGTGATAATCGTACCGCGGCAGAAGATAACGGGCGGGCACAATCACTGCCAAGACAGCTGCAAATACCACAACAAGTGCATCAACATTTGCCAGCACAGGCGGGGGGACCAGCCATTGCAGCTGCGCCACCTCCACCACCCAGTCATCATTTCTATTGGCCATGGATGTCACAGCACATAATCAGCAAGGCCATTAAGCCCACTGCGATTTGTCCCACAAACTTTACTGTGAATCCTTTTAATGCGGACGAATGTGTGCCGCAGTGCAGCAGAGATGGTTTCCATACGACCCAGCAAAAGAAAATTGCCGAAAGTCTGATTTTGGGTCTCTCGGCCATATGTTTTGTTCTGACGCTCTTCTCTTTGGTCACCTTTTGGGCTGAACCCACACGCTTTGGTTATCCCGAAAGACCAGTGCTGTTTTTGTGCCTGTGCTATAATCTCTTTTCGGTATGCTATTTAGAGAGAATCGTTTTCCATAACTCCTCCAGGGCAATGGCATTAATGGAAGATCCGCTGAGCAAGACCCAACATCCGGCATGTTCGTTGGCACCACCCTGTTTGGCTTCGTACATTACCACAAGTTATTTGAGTCTGTGTGCTGCCACCTGGTGGCTGATATTTGCCTTGTGTTTCTATCTGTCCTCGCACAAGAAATGGTCTTCGGAGGCATTGGAAAAGAAATCGGGCTTGTTTCATGTCCTGGCCTGGGTACCACCATTGGCTCCACCCATTGCCGCGCTGCTGATGGAAAAAGTAAAACCCAATGAATTGACGGGCATGTGTAGTGCTCCTGGCTTTGTGGAAATACCTACCATTGTCCTGTTGCTTCTCGGATTCTTCTTTACCCTGCGAGCCTCTAGATCTCTACATGCCCTGCAACAACAGATGCTGCCCACATTTGGTCATCAAAGATTTTCACAAATTCGCAAAAGGTTTTTGATTTTCTCGCTGCTCTTCTTTGTGCCCACCTTAGTTGGGGTGGTGTCGAGATTTTTTGAACCCCATATGGACTCGGTACCAACATGTTCGACACGAGAAGATTGTGCTTCGCCAACACCATTAATTGCATGGCCAACATTGTTGCGGTTATTCTTTCAGTTGACCGGTGGTACTTTGACCGGTATGTGGGTATGGTCCCGTAAGACATGTGAGTCCTATCGCAGCCGTTTGGTGCCAACACCCACATCTTCTATGACCAATACCACCACCAAATCGGCTGCCTCGCTGCCCAAAAAGCATTTGCATACCTCGGGAAAATCCACGATTGGAGCGCCTCTATACAGCGGCATAAATTTCCATAATGTGCCCGTCTACACCACCACAACCATAGTGCCCAGAGTGTAGCCTCAAGGGGTCGATGTAGCTGATGATGCTGCTGGCAAACATCATACGAGGGCGGGTGTATATAATCCTGGGTATTTTGTATTAATTTAAGCAATTAATTTTAGTCGAAGTTGTAAATAATCCAATGAAAGAACTCGAATGTTGTTTTCTGTGTATAAAAATAATTAATTTATAAATTTAAAAATAAAATAAAATTAAAAAAATATTTGTAAATTTTTATAAGACACACACACACCCAGTCTCCCAGTAATACTGCTCCAAAAAATATTTTATTTTTGTTAAAAAAATAAATAAATATTTGGAAAAAAATTTTATCATAATTTCAGTTTGTAACTGAATTTGATTTATTTTTAAATGAAAACCTTTCTGAAATTCTGGTTAATTTTTGTTAATGGTTTTTTAATAGGCATATAGGACTCATTATCATAGCGAACATTTCATAGGGCAACAATATCACTCCAGTCAGGAATACTTAATAAAAAATACCATAAAATATTATTTAGGAATTCATTATTTAAAAAAAATTACATAAAATTTTACCATTTTAGGATTCAAAAGAATAACCTCACCCCCCACTCATTTCCTGACTCTGCGCCTGTATGCAACTAAATCTAATTAATGTGTTATTAGTTTTTAATAAATATTTAATTTATTTGCGTTTTTTTTTTTTTGTACAACCAAAATCATTCACAATAGATTTGTGTATTTCATTTATATTTTGTTCATTTTTTTCTGTGTTAAGTTTTATTTATAGTTTGACAAACAAAAGGCGTATTGTATATAAATTTATTTAAGTTGACATAATTTACACAAAAGTATTTAGTATTAAAATTTTGAACAAAACAACAAAAACCACAATTGCGAAAAAAATAATAACGAAATATTCTATTCCCAAAAATAAATGAGAATTATTTCAAATGTTAAAATAAAATCTTTCGGTGTTTTCTTTTTTTGGGGTGGGGGTTAATAAAAAAGGTGGTTATGAGTGATTCAGAATTCAATCATACTGGTCCAAATAACAAATTTTGGATAACACCAATTAAAACCACTAAGGAAAAGTCAAAAGTCGGGCGTGGCCGACTATATGTCTACCCAACACAACAATGCATATTTAGCAGAGCTTCCATAAAAAATAATTTTTTTGAAGTAGATCATACCACCTATCTACATTTGGCTTTATGGCAGTTATAATTTGGTCTCAGAGGTAACTAATATATGGGAGGCATAACCAATTCTGAATCGATTTTCACTTAATTTTACGAAGGCATTTATATACCAAATAGCATTGCTATAGAATATAGGATATCACTTCGAGAATGACTATATCAAAAAAATATATATCGGAACCGAGTTTTACCAAATGGAATCGTACGTCCCGAAATTCACTTCATTTGGTACTGATATTAGCCATTATTTGCACAATAATCCTGAAATCGGATTAAGGATATATATGGGAGTTATATCCAAATCATAGCCATTCTCGATAAAATTTGGTAAAAGGTATTTCTGAGCTCTATAAGATATCTGGTACCAAATATCATTGTTGTCGAATGCATATACGAATGTGAGGGACTTAAACCCCCAAATCGGATAAAACATATGCATGGGAGCTAAAGGTATATCTAAACCGATCTCCACCAAATTTTATATACTTGGACTTATATTGGCCACTTGGTGCACAATTAACCCGAAATTGGTTGAAGATATATATGAGAGCTATATATAAATCTGGTCCGATTATCACTAATATCAATAGGGTTTGTCCTATTATCGACATTATGATAGTTTCATCAAAACATCAAATGAAGAAAAGTACAGCTATATGGGGGCTCTTTGAGGACCAGGAACTACATAGACAATTTCGGTAATAAATTGTAGTACCCATTATGACCTTCAAATACGAAATTGGAAAAAATTCCGGTCAAAAATGTAGTTAAAATCATCAAAATACCGAATATCGGGGGTTACCGTTATATGGCGGCTCTACGATATAGCCCTGCCGCAGGCATCGTGATTACAACTGAAGGACTGACAAGGCTAAATCGTCTTAGCATTTTACGCTGATCAAGAATATGTATATATTGAATGACGAACGTAATATACCCTCCATACTATGTGTGGTGAAAGATATAAAAAATAAGTAAAAAAGAAGCTAAGTTCGGTCAGGCCTAACTTTTTATACCCTCCACCATTTGGAAGAAACTTGAAAATTTTTGAAAAATTCTGTGAAAAAATAACTCTCAAATGAAAACCGCTATATGGGGGCTATACGAAGACGTGGTCCTACATAAGTAATTTGTATCATGGGCTGTAGTAATGGTTCCGAACTTTATATAGAAATTTTAAATATTTGCGGTAAATAATGTCGCAAGAATCATGAAAATACCGAATGTATGGGCGCTATATTAAAACGTGGACCTATTTAAAAAATCCTCTTTTAAGGCGAAAATTACACAGAAGGAAGACCTTGTGTGGATTTTAAGACAATTCCATTGACAAATTTGGCTCAAGTTAAAAAATACTGAGTTTCGGGGGGTATAGTTATATGGTACCATACGATATCGTGGACCTATATAGACAATTCTCTTCCAGGGGATAAACTACTCAAAAGGAACTCCTTGTGTGGATTTTCAGACAATTCGATTGAAAAATGTGACTAAAATCATCAAAATACCGAATATCGGGGAGTACAATTTTATGAGGGCTATACGATATCGTGGGCCTATATAGACAATTATCTTCCAGTGAATAAAGTACTAACGAAGAACTCGTCGTGTAGATTTTCAGACAATTCCATTGAAAATGTGGCTAAAATCATGAAAATACCGAATATCGGGATGTACCCATATCGTGGACCTATATGGACAATTCTCTTCTAGGGGATAAAGTACTCACAAGGAACTCTTTGTGTGAATTTTCAGACATTTTCATTGAAAAATGTGGCTAAAATCATCAAAATAGCGAATATCTTGGGAACCGTTAACCGCATAACAATTAAAAGTTTTTATGGGAGAATTCAATCATATACGCTAGATGATAATTATAATTTAAAGTTCAAAGGACTAAATATGCCGAAGCATTTGTATCTTTTAAATTCGGACTTGTATCGCTCATTTGGTGTACAATTAATTTAAAATCGGATAAAGATATATACGGGAACTACATCCAAATCGGAACAGATCTCGATAAAATTTGGCAAAGATATTTCTGAGCTGTATTTGATATATTTCCCTGAATATCGTTGTTACGGAGTGCATATTACGGCTGTGGGTAAGAAATATGTCAAATCGGATGAACAGTATATATGCGAGCTATAACTATATCTGAACCGATCTTTACCAAATTTGACATACTAGCTTCTAGACTCAATTCGGTCATAAGTGCCAAATTCCGTCCCATTTGGAAAAATATTACACGTTTGGTGCACAATAAAAGGTAAATCGGACGAAGTTATATATGGGAGCTATATCCAAAACTGAACCGATCTCGATAATATTTAGAAAATGTATTTCTGAGCTGTATTTGATTTATTTCCCCAAATATTGTTGTTACAGAGTGCATATTACGGCTGCGGAGGACAAAAATAACAAATCGGATGAAAAATATATATGGGAGCTATAGCTATATCTTAAGCTATTTCGATCAAATTCGGCATACTTATTTTCAGGCCTAATTTGGTTGTATGTGCAAAATTCGATACTATTCGGGCTGATATTACACGTTTGGTGCGCAACAAAAAGGAAAATCGGACGAAGATATATATGGGCGCTATAGTTAAATTTTGACCGATTATCTCCAATTTCAATAGCGTTCGTCCTTGGGCCAAACAAATGATTTGTGCAAAATTTCATCTGAATCGGGTAATAAATGCGAACTGTGCTTTGTTTACAAAAATACATGGACAGACGGACGGACATGCATAAATCGACTCAGAATGTGATTGTATGCAGATCATCAAAAGGAACTATGGGTCTATCATGTTTCCTTTTGCCTGTTACAAACAAATGCACAAAGACATAATACTCTGACCACCTTGTGGTGTAGGGTATAAAAACATTAAGTTCGGGAGCTAGAATCCATTACTAACTACAAATACTAATTTTTAGACAAATCCGTGAAAAATTGTGGCGATAATCACTAAAATACCGAATATCGGGAGGTACCGTTATATGGTGGCTACACCAAAACGTGGACTGATATATCCCATTCTCAATAACAACCATCCTAAACACAATATAAATTTTTGTGCCAGATCTGCGTCAAATAATGTGGGCTGTATCGTGTCAACCGACAGACAGGCGGACATTGTTAAATCGACTTAGAATTGTATGCTGATTATGAAAACTGGGAAAACATTTTTAGATCTAGAGGACTTCATCTCAAATATATCTGTTTATCACATCCTCTGCTCTGCCTGTTAGAAGCATTTGCATTCTTATTAAGATAGTGCCTAAAGTTAAAAATCTCCTTTCGGCGAAGGGAAAACAACCACTACATTCCTTATTCGCACATCAATACCAAATACAAAATTAATTGGATATTTGTTTTGACTAAAAAAAATGTTTGCAAAATAACCAATCCTTAGTCGTCTTTTCCTCCGTTATGTTAACCGACTGTCACTCCATGTACGCGGTAGGTAAAATGTAAAGAAATCTTCGTTGCAGGTGGCAGCGGATACGTGTAGGTATTTTTTTTAGCATATTGACATTTGCCAACTCATATTTGCTTCCAGTGATGATGACGCTTTCAGAATTCCATTATGACAAAATGAGTTTCAGACGCACACACACACACAGAGATGGTAATATCAGGGTGTGGCCGCGAACAAATCAAACAATTATTCCTACAGCAGAGGAAAAAAGTCACCGAAAAGATCTAAGTTCAACGCAATTTGATGCCATGAAAAATGATAATAATCCGAATATGATGTAAAGCTGGAAGAAAAAAAAAAAAAAACCACGAAATTGTCATTCATGGGGTCATGCATTACAGATTGATTCCCACCAGGTTTTTTTTTTCTCATTTTGTAATGCAATCCCATTAGTCACCCGAAAACGACAAAAAGTAGAAACGACACAAACAAAGATAACGATGATAATTTTTTTTCGCTTCACAAAGGACTTCAAACAGTGCCGCTTAACAAACATCAGCGACAATTGCATGTCCAATATTTCATTGTCTTCTTCGTCGAGGT